ATTTGGCTCCCTGCCTCCCGTTTTGCTCCCTGCCTCCCATTTGGCTCCCTGCCTCCCCTTTTGCTCCCTGCCTCCTGTTTGGCTCCCTGCATTCTGTGATCCCGATTTATCTTCCGTCAGTAGGATCCCTCGCTTCCAGTCCACTTTCTGCGTATTAAACACGTCGCTAACTGTGTCCTGGCTGCTCCTTCTCCAGTTACTCCTTGCTGCCCTCTGTCTTGCTCGCCCCCTGCTGGCCCCTTCGTCTAATGCCGTCTCTTTGTTTGCACTAAGCTTTGCCGGAGGAGATCAGCTGAAAGTTGTCCCCAGGTAACTGCGCTGTGTTGTCTCTCTGTGAGTGCTGTGATTCTCACTGTGCTCCTGTGCTGCCAGCTGCAGGTCACTCCCTAGCTGGACACTGTCTGTCTCACTGTAGCTCTGTCCATGTGCCCTTTCGCATGTTTCTGCTGTATAACTGTCTCACTAATGGAGGCGTAAGACTTATTTGCAGAACGACCCCCTTGCCTGCTGCACTGTGGGGTATCGTGGCTCCGAGTGGTTCTAGCTGGTCGGAGGGGGGGTCTTCCTGATTCCTCCTTTTTCTTTCAGGATCTCTGAGCGAGTGCTCAGTATGACCTCAGTTTGACCCCAGTGTAATCCCCCCGTCTTCATGCCACTCCCTGTCTCCTCAGAGCGAGCTGCCTGACACTCAAGCCAAATTCCACGTGCTGTTCCTGTTCTTCGTGTCGGCCATGTTCTTCATCAGCATCCTGTCCCTCTTCTGCTACCACATGTGGCTGGTGGGGAAGAACCGGTCCACCATAGGTAACCATGGCTGGGAATTCAAGCTTGGCCTGTGATGCGAAGGCCGCCTAAGTGGCTGCTGGGCTGGGCAGCTTTCTCCCGTGTGATGTGCTCTCTCTCCCCCCGTCTTTCTCCTGCTCTCTGCCTGTCTCCCTCTCCTGCTTTCTGCCTGTCTCTCCATCCCTCTGCCTCTGTCCTGCTCTTTCACCCCCTCTCTGACCATCTCTTGCTCTCCTCCTCTCCGCTTGTCTCTCTCCTGCTCTGCCTGTCTCTCTCCCTCCCTCTCTGCCTGTCTCTCTGCCTGTCTCTCTGCCTGTCTCTCTGCCTGTCTCTCCCTCCCTCTGCCTCTGTCCTGCTCTTTCACCCCCTCTCTGACCATCTCTTGCTCTCTGCTCCACTCCGCTTGTCTCTCTCGCTCTCATTCCCATTCTACCCCAACCCTTTACAGAAGCATTCAGGGCCCCGGTGTTCAGAAACGGCCCTGATAAGAATGGCTTCTCCCTGGGCCTCAGTAAGAACATTGCCCAGGTGTTTGGAGACCAGAAGAGGTCCTGGATGCTGCCTTTCTACTCCAGGTGAGCTTGCTGTGCCTTTTTGTCCTATTCTGGCATCTCTGACTCTTTCTGGTTTCTGTTATCTGGAGAATAAGGTGAACCCCCCCCCCCCTTTCCGGTGCAGTCTGGGTGATGGCCATATCTTCCCAACACGGCTGGTCAGTTATGACCCAGAGCAGCTACCCGCTGACCTGCAGGCCTGTTCTGACAGGTAAATGAGGTGTGATTTATTTCTTTTTAAATGTCCTCTCCTTCTGTGACGCTGATTGACATGCTTTCCTCACAGTGATGGACAGGCCTACCCCAGACCTCTTAGCGAATCCCAAAACCACCTCCTATCCAATGACGTGCATTTCGTGGATGACGTCCCCAGCACTGGTGAGCTCTCACGCCATCGTCACGTGTCATGTCTGCCTCGCTCGGAGTAAACTTGCAAACTCAGCTGGATGCGATGTGGAAACGTCAGGCTGTTGCTCTGTGTCCCTCCCTGTCTCTCGCCTTCCCCCCCCTCCAAGAGGCCGCTTTCCTGCCGGTGGAGTAGGTACACAAGCTACTCTCACTGCTATTTGAATATCTTTTCAGATGCCGGACAGGCAGTGAGAGTCACCATGGAGAGTGAGTCATAGCTAGGTGAGTCGTGAACATTTATTTGTGTCCCGGTGATGGATGGATGGACGGATGGATATTGAAGCCAGATTCTTTCCCGCAGATCTACAGGCAGTGCAGGGGAACACAGCCTGCCTCCCGTGCGTGGAAATCTAACCTCCGACACGCTGATACAGCAGAGTCATCAAGTCTGATGCCTTAAGTCCCACACGGCCCTGCCTCCGTCGCCATGGATACCACATCCTCATCACCACGAACAGATACCCGCAGGCACGTGAACTTCAGCGTCGCCCAGGATATTGCCGTATTAAATGCGCATCACCCATGCACTGTTCAACACGCATGCTGCCGTAAGCTGACGTGTCGCAGCTCTCCTCGCTGGCTCACACACATTCCACAAGGACCCCCTAATGGCCCCCCCGCCAGCACAGAGTGGTGGGGCTGTGTGTTTAAGCGAAACTCCTTCTTGCTCTCAGCCAAAATGTTCTTCAGAATTTTTACTGCGTATTTTTACATCAAAATTCTCAGCAGGAATAATGTCCGCTCGCACTACAGAGTCTGTGGACATCATCGTCACGCAGGGCAGTGCAGAGTGGGGATGGTTACAGATACACTTCAGATGGTGCTCAGGTGTATCTGGCCGTCTTTGGGTGAGACTTCTTAAGGGCTCTTGTGTCTGTTTGTTTGTGTGTGTGAGATCTTACACCCCCTGGTGTCTAGGTAAGAGAGGAAAGTGTTACCCCAAGCCCTCCCCTTCACTTTGCAGTGTAAACAGTCCTGAGGTTGTCGTCCCCCCCCCCTTCCCCAACCTCCACACTTATGGGAACTCGAGCAAAGAGCACCTGTCGTGCCTTCAGCACACAGTGCATTACACCCTGCAGCACAGGAAAAGCCGGCTGTTCATTAGTTTGCAGGATCAAATGTTAACTTCCTGTGGAATTCACCCTGACCGTAGGCGCACAGGAAGAAGCTTGTTTACATCCATCCAGTCATCCCTTCGGCACACTCCGACGCAGCCCTGTCAACCCTCTCCAACCCCCCCCCGGGTGAGAGTCTCAATGCTGCACCCGACCGGCTCAGACAGCTCTTTAGTGGGCTAGATATGTGGCTCTGTGGGTTAGGCTGCTGTGCCTGTAATCAGAAGTTTGTCGGTTCAAATCCCGGAGTAAAGGTACATATCCTGCAATGTACTTTCACAAAAAAATGTGTGTCTTCTAAATGCACATAATGCCATCAGGATGTAGTCGCATGAGATCAGGATCAGTACTGCACAAACAGCTTTAACGGTTGAATGTGTGTGTGTGTGTGTGTGTGTGTGTGTGCGCAAATTCAGTTTGTGTAGCAGGAATTGTGGTAATGTAGTGGACTGACCTCCAGGGGGCGCTCCTTGTGCACAAGGGGTTTGGTGCTTATTAGAGTAAAAGTGCTCTACACTCCTCTCATGTGACCACCATGTCAGAACTATGGGTTTCCCTCCAAAGAAAGTACAGTCATAAAAAGTCAAGGAAAATCTCCACTTCACATGATCTTTTTTTATAATTAATGTAAGCTTTTTTAAATGAATTTTAAAGCCCAGTTCTGCATGTTCTCTGTACTAAGCATTTACTCTAATCCAGGTTTTTGTTTGCATTTGTAAGAGCCCGTTAAGAAGTGTATTTGTTTGCACAAACATTTCTTCTTCAATTCTTATCAGTGTTAAAATTTTGTGTAATTGGTTGTCCATGTTTTTGTAGGTAAAATTCACCAGTAAATGAATGTGGAGACAAATAAATGCTGGTGCTCAGTCCGTTGTGGGTGATCTTTGCTGTTTTTTCTTTCTGACTGTCTCCAGCGTGAAAGTGCAGATCCCAAACCTGATTGATGCATATTAAATATATACGTATGTGTAATATATCAGGTGTGTGATTTTAACTAGAACATTAACTGGCTTCGGTGGAACTAGGTGAATGAACATTGACCCCAACAGTAGGGTCAGGTTCAGGATGGGGATTAAGATTTTCCCTTCGGGGGGTCACGTCCTTCACCCCTGTCACACCCAGCTATTCCAGCAGGTGCCGGCAACCTGCCGCCAAGCCAGAATAACCTCGGGGCCGTTGACCTTCCCTGCTGCCTCTGTCTCTTTGTTAAAAGTACGTGGATGTGCAGAAATGAGAAGAACAGACTAGTAGCATGACGTGAGAAACAGGAAACAAGTGGGGGTGTCGTGTTTCATAATTCACTGTATTTCACCCGACAAAATCCATTAAGTCGCCTAAACCACAGAACCATGCTTTGATGTGTCTGTATCTGTGTCCTGTCCTTTGGGAATATTTCCTTTGGAATGTTCTAGTCTCCTGCTGCTTCAAGATGTGCTGATCCCCCCCCCTCCCCCCACCACACACACACACACACACACACAATATCCCTGTCCTCCAGATTTTTGGTGAATGTTTAGCTGTTTTATAAGAGCAAATGCCGACAAATGAGCATCATTTTTAAATCTGTTATCTCCCTGGTTGAACCAACCGGCGGTGTCTGAGATTGTGGGTATAAACCCAGCCTGACGTGTGCGTGCAGGGCGCCTGATTGCACAAGCCGGCTTCTGGAATGGAGAGCGCAGTGATTCACCCACAGGTCGCCGGCAGCCTCATAAAGCCACCCCCCCCACCACACACACACACCTGTGCAGACTTCTGCAGACGGAGTGACACAAGTTCAGCTCCCGTGTTTTTGTGGAGACTTCAGGAGATCGAAATGGAGAATCTGAGCAGCACCATCGACCCCAGCTGTCTGCAGCAGCCTCCGCTGGCGATAGACATCATTATAGGTAAGTGATCCCTGCATCACAGCTGGCTGACAGCGGGGCGGCGAACTCTGAGCTGTTCAGTGTGACGGTTAGGTTTAGGGTTAGAGTTAGGGTTAGGCTTCAGGATGTCCTGTGGTTCAGATTCTGTCTGTCACTTCAGAAGATGCTAACTGCTAATGTGGGCCTGTGATGCTAGTCGTCTGTCAAGGAAATGAAAAAACAGAGAACGCAGGTAACACTTTACTTGAGGGAGCAAAAATCGTATAGTATAGTATTATACTATTACTTGCATATTAACCACAAACTAAATTACCTACTGATCTCATATTAATTTATCATTAATGTGTAACGTGTTCTCACACGGTACTGCATTTGTAACTATATATGTTAATTTTGTAAACCCTTGTGAACTAGTGAAGGAATTACTGAAGAAACAAGTAATGAATAACTGAAGTGAAATAACGATCTTGTATTTGTTCATCATTAATGAATCATGAGGCATATTTCACCCCAAACAATTACAATATTTGTTACTATATCTGTTAATTCTGTAAACCTTTGTGAACTACTAAGGAGCTACTAAAGGAACAAGTCATAATACATGAAATACTGATCTAATGTTTGTTCATCATTAGATTCGTGACGCATCTTAAGTAGCAACTACATTTGTTCATGATTTGTTCATGAATTGTGCTTCAGTAGTAACTGAGTTATTACTAAGTGAAGTGTTACCAAAATAATTTTAAATAGAGGGTAGGATTCAAGGAGTTGGTTGGTCGTTCTGTCGTGAGGAACCTTTATTCTGTATGGTATGTGGCATTCTTCTGGGAGACACATTTTTCATGGGCTTCATTTGTAAAAACTGAGTACCGTTAGGTGTTATTAACACTGCAGATTATGCTGTTTTAAGAGGGTGACAGAAACCTTCTTCTTGACAGAGTTGGACGCCCTTGGGATCATTCTATACGCTGGGCTGACCTTGATGGCAGTGCTGTCCATGCTCATTTACATTGAAGGAACCATCTACATCTTCCGCAAGGTGTCCTACCCTAAAAAGCAGGCCATCATATGGGTGAACGGGGCAGCACCGGTAAGCGGCAGCGCTAATGCGTGCAAATAGAGCCAGTGAACTTGTTTGTATGCATTCGCATTGTGCCAGCTAAAGATATTTAATTTTTTTTTTTTTTTGCCATTTCTGGTTTTTCCAGCTCTGTTTGGTTGTTCAGCTGCAGTTAATATTCTGTACAGAACAAAGTGAAACTGTCTTTGGGAATGTCACCCAGAAACACAGTGACTATAAAACTGGATGTTTAGTTGATTGGTTGGTTGGTGAGCCAATTTGTCCAATTTAAATTAACTGCTTGACAGATTGAATCTCGATGTCCCTCCTCAGCTCTGATACCATTGAGGGAGTCATTCTTCATGCTTTTCAGCCAATAAATACCCACCCATTCTAAGCTCTGCCCCCACCCGGTGCCTGTCTTGTTCCAGATTATTGCCACCATGTCTTGCCTGGGGATGTGGATCCCAAGAGCCACCATGTTCACAGACATGACATCAGGCTGGTAAGTCTGTCACTGTCCCCTTATTCAGATATCTCCCAGTGGATAAGGCTATCCCTATCCCTTAGGTTATCCCTAAGCCTGCATAGTAATCATTATCGAGTTGTTTTGACTCAGGTTCCCTGGCTCTCTCTGATCGCCCATCCCTACAGTTATTTTGCCGTCGTGGTCTATGAGATCCTCGTGCTGTTGTTAGAGGAGTGTGGGGGAGATGAGGCATTTCTTCAACGCTGTGGGAATAACCGTCTCCGGATCAGCACCGGGCCCTGCTGCTGCTGCTGCCCATGCTTGCCCCATGTGCGTCTCACACGGTATGCTTGGGTTGTCCCTGGGTTGTGCTCAGGTCGTGTTTGGCTCATACTCGGGTCCATCCAGTTTCCCGGTGCCCTCCTGAACCCTAATCCTATCTTTAATCCTAACCATAATCCTATCCCAAACCCTAACCCTAACCTTAATCCTTACTTGATCACAGTGTCTGGGTCACAGGCTGATGATCAGTGTTTTGTAACCCTTTTTTCTCAGCCGCGTTCTGTTCCTGTTGAAGCTTGGATCTTTCCAGTACGCACTGATGAAAACCGTTTGCACCGTCTTGGCCATCGTGCTGTGGACCAATGGGAACTTCGACGTCTCAGATGTGAGTCCTTGTGGATACTGCACTTGATTCCTGCCCATGTCACCTGGACGGCCTGCAGCTGTAATGATGTGTGCCTGAGGCCTGATTCCTGATAAAGCCTGTTCCTCCATTCAGCTTGAGGTCACTGGAGCCCTCATCTGGATTAACTGCTCTGTGGGGGTTCTGACCATCGCTGCTCTCTGGCCTGGTGCCATACTCTTCATGCACCTGCGCCAGACTCTCAGCAGCCAGAAGATCATCCCTAAATATGCCATGTACCAGGTAAGCCTACCTGTGTCGCCGATAGCCAATGAGTCTTTAGTTCTACAGTGACTCTGTCCATGCGCAGGTGGTGCTGGTCCTCAGCCAACTGCAGACGGCCATATTCAGCATCTTGTCACTGAACGGCACCATTGCCTGTGCCCCACCCTACTCCTCGCAGGCACGAGGATCCAGTGAGTACCCATGCACTCCCCCTGCTGGGAGATCTTGTCCTTCGGCTTGTTATGTGGAGACCCCATATATACTCACAGTAAAATCTAGCCATAATTTATGTATGAAGCTGTGACTGTTAGTGTGACAACACACAGGCTCAAGTCAAGCTGATTCCACAGAGCGGTTCATTAAGTGACCTAGCTGTGTGTTGTCTTTGCACGGTGACCTCTGACCCCTGCGTGTTGTCTTTGAGTGGTGACCTCTGACCCCTGTGTGTTGTCTTTGAGTGGTGACCTCTGACCCCTGTGTTTTGTCTGTCTGCAGTGATGAGTCAGCAGTTGCTCATCCCAGAGATGTTCATCATCACTCTGGTGACGCGGCTGTTATACAGACGCACATATGAGCCGCTTTCTGCTGCCCCTCTACACCAGGACAACAGGGGCAGGAAACTCCTGCCGTCTGAGTGCGGCGAGGCATAAACCTGCATGTATCTGTGTGTGTGTGTTGTGTTTATATTACATTGTGGGGACCGAATATTCCCCACAATGTAATAAACACCTGTTATTTTTACATTTTTTAGGTCCCCACAAAGATCAATGACTGTAATCAAAAAAGTAAAAATTAATTCTTGTATTTTGTTTGGTAACTTATGGTTAAGGTTAGGGCTGGGTAGAGGTTAAGGGTGTCATGATTGGGATTAGGGTTTTTCCTATAGAAACGAATGGACGGTACCCATTTAGATAGGAAGACCAACTTGTGTGTGTGTGTGTGTGTGTGTGTGTGTGTGTGTGTTTCTACATATCTATGTATTTGTATCTGTATGTATTGGCACCAAAGGTGACTATTTCAGGTCCAGAAAGTAAAAATCCAGGCCAAGATTTTGTTTCAACCATCCAGTAAGTATAAAGAGTCACAGTCATAGAGTACTCAACTGGTTGGTTAAAACTAAATCTTGGTCTGGATTTTTACTTTCTGGACCTGAACTCTCCACCTCTGGTTGGGCAATAACACCTCACTGCTGCTTTTCCATACTGAGGTAACTGATCAGAGGTGTATTAAGCAGCACTTCCTGTAAGTAAGACCCAGGCAACATGACACCATGACAGATGTACCTGCCTGGAACAGCAGGCCCTGCTAGTCAAGAGGTCAGAGTTCAGCTCCATATACTGGGATGACCCAGCACCACCCTGCTGTTACATTACATACAGGATCTCTGACCCAATAAACTCCCTGGTTCTATAACCCCATAAAATCTGAATAATCAGAATATTTTGAGCACCATCCCTGTATAGCTGAAGAGGGCTGACCTTTGAGCATGGAGACACAGTGATCCTGTGTTATAAAGATGACATAAAATCCACCTTGGGCTTGTGGGCTCAACCAGGAGTCGGTATGTCACGTGACAGGCGTGTCACATGGTTTCAGGTCCGTGCAGCTCTTGTGTTTCTCCCTTTTCCCCCAAAGCACAGGGCAAATGTTCCTGTCCTCCTAATCCAGTGATTCTAACTGTGATTGTACTCTGTGTTCTACCTGCACATTTGTATTGATGGCCAGTAAAATCTGATCACCCGAACTCGTAAATCACCCTCGATTGACACACCGTACACACATTACATAACTCACCCTATCAGCCCGGAGACAAGAAAGAGCCAAGTGACTAGCAGGAATGACCCAAACTGACTGTCTCCAACTACCCTGGTATCTGCAGGATACACCTGCTGAGGCACCATCATGAAATGTTTTTATATTCTCTCAAGCTGCAACAACCAATAATGTATTAACTGCCAATAACCTAATACTTTTTTAATACATTAATGGTAGTTATTACATTATACATAAAAAGTTATTACATTTTTGATTCAGAAATTGTATCACATTATTGGTAAGTTATTTCATTAGAATGGAAAAAATGCAATTTGCAGTTATTACATTATTAGTTGGTACACAACTAGCACAAAGGAGAATGGCGTAGTTTAACCTAAATGACAGAATTATAAAAGAATGGTAATGGAAATTCCTTCCAAATACACCTAAATAAAGGGGGGCAATCACATGGAAAACAAACACGTTGCAAATACTCCAGGCTGTTTCCATGCTGCCCTCTAGTGGTCGGATTGTGTTTTTTTCCTTATTAGTCTGCGCTGGACAATGTCCAGCATCTGTTTCAGTCATTTCTTTAGCTAAAGACCTGAAGATGATGAGAAATATATGAGATTCTCAGATACTGCCACCTAAAAGCAGCAACCTCACTAAAATGGCTGTGTTGTGTGAAGGTATTTATGTTTGACTTTGTGAATGTCTGTGGGATATCGTTTGATGTGTATTAATAACTTATTCTTGCCAGTATGTTTCTCTGCTTGTTGAAAATAAACAGCATCGCCTTTAACACAACTTTATTTACACATTAAGTGATTTTTATCCATAAAAGAAATACAATGTGAAAGGCTCTGACTTCAGTCTCAGGCTGCTGTCCTGAAGTTCACATTTGCACATCACACAGTACAGACTGGGACATGCTCCCACATTGTGACACATTCTGTCAGGGATGCATGCTTTGAGTTTGCTGCTCTTCTGCACCGTCAGCCTCGTGTCTGTTACCTGCTTCCTGAGGCCTGGATAGCTGGGGTGTCATAGTGGTGTCATGGTGTTATTGTCATCGTCATCTTCCTCACTCATGCTGCTGGAAGAGGCATCCTTAGGGGGGAACAGGGTCCGTCGGGAAGCGGGCGAGGGGGAGCGCGACTGGGAGCGTGTTCTGCTGGGGCTGCTGCTGGGGGACACACTGGGAGAGTGGTAGGGGGACAGGGCCTGAAGCATCCGCCCACGGTGCTCCTGGAACATCTGCTTCTGGGGAGGGGAAGAAACAGGAGAAGCTCTGTTTCCAAGAGGAGAAAGGGATGAGTGTGAATCATCTAGGGAGTGGAAAAGGGGATATTCTGGTCAAGAGTGTACTGGAAATAGACACTTGCTGGGGGAGACAGCAGGATCTTACCCAGGCCCCATCAGGCCCAAACAGTTGCAGAAAATTCCCAATGAACTCCCGGGATTTTTCTTCCCACTTTAGGATGAGATCGTGGCTCTTCTCCTCAACCTTATACACGAAGTGTTTGGACTTTTCCTCCACCGTCTTCACCTTTTTCTTCATCTTGTCCACTTGGTTCTGTAAATGGTACTTCTTCTCCTGTGACAGTGAGAGTCCTCACGGTTAGCTTGTGCTACCTTGAAGCCACGGTGTTCCACACACCATGTCGGCTAGACGTTGCTCTCACGTTGATGTAGCTGACGTTGAGCTCCTTCGCAGTGTACCCTCTCTGCAGGTTGCGTCTGGCGTAGACGTCATAGTCCCGGACGATGCGGGTGATGATGTCAGATGTAGAAATGCCCTCTGTTCTCTGCGTGGCCACAAACATGCCTGAACACACATGCAGACTGAGGTGAGACTAGTCGAGTTACGATGATGTCCACCTGACACGCCTCACAGTTCCACACAGGTCAATATGCATTACAGGTATGAGGGTCTTTACTCCATCAAATGGAGGTATGGAAACACACGTAAGCAGAACGACACCCTCATTTACAAAGCGCACAGAAAATTAACAAAGAGAAAATAAATGTGTTCCCACCGGCTTCCTTGATGTGTTTGTAGACGTCATGTGATCCCGCACATGCATATGGGATGTCATCATGCGTTACGAAGTCAATCTGAGAGAAAACCACACAGCAGAATCAGTAACAATTTGCCTCACTCAGAAGATGTGATGACCTGACTTACTATCTCCTTACTGCTATTGTCAGGAGCAGCGAAGGAACCTAATTTTATGCAGTAAAACACATTTTATACTCACATTTGTTTCACAGTGTAACTCACAACGACCAGGAAAATTACAGTGAAGACGTCTGCGAGGGTGACCAGCACTTTGATCTGGGGGTGAGTCTGACCTTGTGTTTCTCCAAGAATTCAGGTGTGAGGGTCCAGGGTGCATCCTGCACCACCTCATCCACGTATCGGCAGTGCCTGAGAGCCTCGTAGCGTTCCTCCTCAGTCATCACCGTGAAGCCCTTGTACTTGTGCGTGAGCTTGTCGCTGCACACTGACAAACACCATCAAATACTCCGTGTGACACTTCGATGTGGGCTTTTGAGTAATTTTTGTGTTGTGTGAAGCTGACTGCATCTCACCTCCGACAATCAGGTAGCAGTTGGGGAACAGGTTCTTGGCCTGCATCAGGGCACGGGCGTGGCCAGAGTGGAAGAGGTCAAAGATGCCATCAGCATAGACCCGTGCTGGCCTGTCTACTGACAAGACAACTAATCAGCTACCTCACACAAAACATACATTCAGCTAACCCTACCTTGCTAATTAACACTACCTAACCAGCTAATCTGAAGTTAACTTACCCAATTCAAGCTCACCCTTCCCTTTAAGTCACTGTCTTCCTTTATGACAACCAACGCAATAAATAATAGGCAATCATAATCAGTTGGCCTTCTTAATTAATACTACCATAACTACAATCTAAATTAAGCCAAAACTAACTCAAGCTTGTTTGTGGTACAGTTCCTGAAGGGAGCCGAGATGATGGATGTACCCTGGCATGTTGCTACATGGAGTAGGGCTCACCAGAGGTGCCACGGCGAGCCTGTGCCAGGCTGATTCTCTGATACGGGCTGTGGCTCTCTTGACTCGTTTCTGAGGCAAAGGCAGCTGGTTCCATCAGGGTCTGGGAATGGCATAAACATCATCTTAAGATAACTGTACCTGTGGAAGCATGGTCCCACCTCTGCTCAACTGCCTTACATGCACATTAGCAAGCTCCTCGTGTCTACAGGAATGCGAGCCCTCATCTTCATCACACTTAAAGGGTCAGAACCTTAATCACTTCCTCATCTACAGGAATGCAAGCCCTCATCATCTCTTCTACAGCACTGCAAACCCTCATCATCTCCAACAGGAACACAACCCTCATCTCATCTACAGGAATGCGAGCACTCATCATCTCTTCTACAGCACTGCAAACCCTCATCATCTCCAACAGGAACACAACCCTCATCTCATCTACAGGAACCACAGCACAATTTTTTGTTTCACTCATTTCTCAATTTGTGGGTGTGCATCTGTGAATAATATCTATTCTTTTGCAAACTGCAGCCTGGTTCTTCTTTGTTTCTCATTAATGAAGGGCTTCTTAATTGCTTTATGGGACTTCAGTCCTGCTTCTAGGAGCCTGATATGAACTGTCCTAGCAGTGCACTTCACACCACTTAATGTTTTCCATTCCTTTTGAAGGTCACTTGAGGTCACCCTCCAATTCATGAGAAACTGTAGGCATCAGTCATCTCTAGCATTAGAAAGTTGCTTCCGCTCTTTATCTGCCTGGTTTCTGGTCGTTCCCAGTGTCTCCTGCTTCACCTTATTCTTGTGTACTGCTGTCTTTTGAACCTGAAAGGAACCTGCTGCTCAGTGTAGCCTTCTGCCAGCAGAGCCAGGATTAAACCAGGATATAAAAATGCAGATTTAAAAAATGGAGCGGTCTCTTAATTTTCTCCAGTACTGTATCTGAACAGTAACAGAGGAAATGAAATTAACCTAATCTAAGGGACAACTTCTATTTAAGGTCATGACTGATTAATTCGTGCAGCTTATATATATTACATCAGCTTAATAACCCTGATGATGACCCCCCCCCCTCTCTCAGTAATTATACATAGCTATCCCTTCCTAAATAGAGTGTGATAAGATTACTGGGCTTCTCTGCATGTTTATGAGATAGAGAGAGAGCGTGTGTGAGTATGCATGCATGTTTACATAGGGCTATGGTGCTGATGAGTTGTCTGTGATGTTGCCCCCTTGAACTATGGGCTGTTTAAGACCTTGCCTGTGATAGGAGGAGTAGGCAGTTAGGCTCCAAGGAAATAGCTGGGTGTGTGAGAGCAGCCCTCCGATTAGCTGAGACACAGGCCTATATAAAGGTCATGTGTGAGGGCGTGCCGTGTCACTCCTGACCTCAGGTTCGTGAGAGATGCAAACTTCTGAGCTCCTCTTGGAGATGATCAAGCAAAGCTGGCTAATTTATACGTTATTCTGAGTGCTGAGTGTTCCAGCTGTGACCCCTAGAGGGTGGACCCTTCCAGCATGTGGCCCAGACCCCCATTCTTACAGCCAAAAAGCACATGCCTGCAAACCTTGGCTGAAGGTCTCAGTTGGAGAAACTATTCAATGCAGACTATAACCTCAAGGACAGATATCCATCCGATAACATCGTTGCTGAAATCATTGACTGTCTACTCTTTATTACAGATACAAACTCCAACAAACTCTGCCAGTGGTTTTATTTGCTGGAGTTCAATCATCTGGGAGATGTAATTAATATATACTTTGATTTCCAGTTTGACTCTTCTTTCCTGCTCATTTTATGATGAAGTTAAGATGGGTTTTTCATTCCATTGTGGACCCCTGGGCACTACCTGGTCGAATGTCCTTAGAAACATACTCTTCCTCTTTGTTTAGAAAAAGATAACTCAGAAAACGTGCAGACTGTTTAAAGTCTATTGTCTAAATTCCCACTGCAAATTAAGTTCAACACTTCCACCTCTAGAATTAGTTTTTTTTTTTTTTTAATTGTCCTGAACGGCATATAGGGTATCCTGTAACGAATTGGTGTTAAAATATGTATTCTGCAAAGGTAAAAATCCCATCTCTTAATTCTGCAATTGCAGTTGACTTCATATTAATCTCAATGTATTCTAGACTAATCAATAGCCTGTAATCATTTAAGATGAAGGCAGGACAAAGCAACTAGACACAAGAAGGGTATGACTGCGGTAACTGGAACTCTACGCACCGCCGTGGCCACGCCCTTCGAGGCACCTTGGCCACGCCCCTTAAGCTCTGCAACCAGCGCCACTTGTTCATTTGACACGCCACACTAATCCTGCCTCTGATTCCAGCTGTAGTGCTCAGACGCTGGGATGCTGGCAGTTTAAACGGAAAGCGGTGCTGTTTTATCTGCATCTCAGCTGCTTAAACCGAGTTCTCCATGTATGCACACAAGTCTTCTATGCATGCAGGTCTTTGCAGCAATGCCTCTCTGATTCGTTAGTCTAAATAAGGACTTTTTCTCCAGTCACCAAATCCTGCTGAAGACCCGTGCTACTTCTGTGTTGGGCCTCATGAATCATCTCAGCTTGTGCTTTACTTCAAACCTCTGGAAAGTCTCTGTGTTTCCGTACCCTCTATTGAGATGCAAAATACAGAACCTTCAAACGCTATTTTTAGTTGGCTACAGACTAGAATACACATACCTGTTTCTTTTAGCGAAAACCTTATACCCCTAAAATACGCGGATACCATACAAACCAGTCTCCAGCAAACGGCATGTATTGAAATGTTTATCATTATTCAAATTATAAGCAATCAATGCATTTAAAAATTCAGCAAAAACCATAAGAATGATTTTGAAAGCATATCAGTATTTGGTTCGGAGGACGGCTGTTGGCGGCGAGCCCTTACCCTGCGCGGTGCGGCCTGGCCGCGCTGCCCCTGTCTGCCTCCGTTCCCCCGTGCTCCGGCGCGTCTCCTGCCCACCATGTCCGATATGCGGCCGCTCCACTGACCGCTCGGCTTTTACACACGCTGGATCCGGCTGCCCCCGATGACGAGAGCGATCGGTGCAAAGTCCATGTTAGATCAGTTAGCGCAGCTGATCTGGACCCAGAGCTTATCGGAACCGCGGCTGGTACAGAAAAATTGGCCATGGAGCTGAAAGGGCGACTGACATGCGATATTATGAAGATAGCACGACTGAAACTGAAACTGACATCAGTTAAAGGTGCTGCTACGCATCTCCAGATCGATACTGAAATATGGATTCTGTCAATAATCCAAACGTTAAAATATATTTTCCGCTACAAACGTAGGTAACACTTTATAATACTGTTCCGTAGTTAACAGGTAAATATGCAGGAAGTAAGCAGCAACAAAGGAGTAGCGCTTCATTAACACCTAAATTGGTACTATTAACTACTAAGGAGTTATGCTTAATTACTCAATAGGTAATAGTGAACTAATTATTATAGTAGTTCTCTATTACTTCATTAGGAACTATTGAGTATTGCTGGTCTC